GTAACCATAAATTAGTAAAAATTATCTAGCAGTTTCTGGTGAAAGTTAGTTCCTCCACTGGATAAACAGTAGCCTCAAAAACCTTTGTTGACAGCAGCATCAACTATTTCTCCTTGGGTTTGGCCATATGAAATGCTCACTACATGTAATTGTTCACATGGAATACCTTCGTGGTGTTCTAATGAATATATTTTTGGCTTCAGGAGACTTAAAATACGTACAATTATTATTTTTTTAAAATTCTGACTTTTTTATCAAATACTTACTAATGAATAGTAACTCCTTCCTCCAAGTGACATACTAAACATGATATTGCCCCTTTACACAAGTGACAAGACTGACAGAGCTAGAAAAATGCCTCCACTGTGACTTCTATTTTAAGAATTGTCATTGCTTTGAACTTATGAAATATTGCCTTATTAAAAAAGCATGTTGATAACCTAGGCTAACAACATAAGTGTTAGGAACAGTATTTATTGTTATATATAAACGCATACACATATGCAGACACACATACAGAAAAACATACACACATACAGACAAACTTGTATAAACACAATAGCTGTCTAAATGAAAACAAAATGGAGCCATCTATCATAATAATGATAATCAATTATCAATTGAGGAGTAGACCTTGGGAGTTAGTTCCTTATTAGTTTTCATAGATGTGGCATGCCATGGTTGAAGAGTAATGAAGCACAATAAACTGATTTTCTTTTCCTCTTGAATCAACTAGCCAAAACATGCTGTTTAGCCACAAACATGACACTCATTAAAAATAATGCTCCAGAAAGAAAATATTCCCTGTGCTGCTCAGCATAGGAGGTAATAACAGCAGAGGAAAAAGGAATGGTGCACTAAGTCTTACAGTAGATGATTCATTAATTACTCCTGTAGTTCTGCAACACTATAGACTCAGAGTCATACAGAAGAGAACTATGTGAAGCTGGACTAGATTAGCAGGATTTGTCCATACCTTTCCCATGGTGGTTAGGTCAGACACCTGCAGAAATCCTCAATATTTTATTACACACTGTAATCATCATGGATGATATAGTAAAACTGCTTTGTTTCTCTGCCTCTTAGACCTTTCTTCACTTAGTTGCCTTTAAAGGTAAGAACTGATTCTGTCAGAAATCATGTATTGTAGGGAACAGCAGAATGTGTTAGTGGAGGCGTGGTGGGAAAATTCTGCTTGAAAGGTGAATGAAGCATTCTCTACAGTGGATACTTTACAGTTGGCTTCTTGAACTGAGCAAAGTAGGGGATGTTCCCAAAATAGCATTTAGAGCTTAACAGATACAACTGGTCCAATTCAGAGGTGACATAAATAGGAGCAGACAGAGGGAGTAAGCAACACTCCTGGTGTTCGTGCTAGAGTTTACAGTGGCATCACTTAAGTAGCAAAGCAATTGGAGAACAGAGCTGAAACAGGCAGGCTGATTTGTGAGAAGAGAAATACAGAGTGCAGGACTGTTTCTGAGGGACAGGCAGATGGGAAAGAATATATGCTCTATTTAGGCCAGGGACCAATCCTTGAAATGTTTGTGTGTTCAAGGCCAGGTCAGATGGGATTTTAAGTAACGTGGTCTAGCAGAAGGTGTCCCTTCCCATGACAGTGGGGTTGGAACAAGAGGATCTTCAAGGTTTCTTCCAACCCAAACTATTCTGTGATTTTGTGATGAGTGTCTCCATAGGTTCTTCCAAGTTCATCTTTGTATAAGCAGTGATCTTAATCAGGGGCCATTTTCCCACAGATCAAATTTGACTTATGGGCCAAAGAAGAAGCCTGGCACAAGGATATGAAAACCTGTCTGTGTGTTACCTAGATGGAGGTGCTTATGGTCCCAGTCACTGCTCCCTTCTGGAAATACTGAAAGAGCCTTCCTGTTTTATTGAGGAAGAAGGCCAGATTTTTTTTCTTCTGTTTTCTGGAGCTGAGATCTACAACTGTTTCCAAATTAATGTATGAACATCCCTGGTCACAATCTGCACCCCTGCTAAGTTTGGAACTTAAAAGTTATGTACATGTGAAAAGAAAAAACCCAGTGAATAGCATTTTTTATCATGCTTAAAAATTGCATGGGGAGTGTTTTAATTTGGTGCAATATTGCTTCTGACAGCCAAAATTAAATCTGCCTGTAGTGGATTGTTGCCTGTTACTGGATAGAAACATTTGTTAGGTCGAGTATGTGCTGCTTCAACAGACAATGAAAAACATAAACAATTGATTGCAATCAGAAGCCTAAACAAAAACATTGCAATAAGGTGGCATATTTGCATAGTTATCGTGAATCTGGGGACAATATAAAAAAATCTCTTTTAATGCATATACAGGTGAGAATTAATTTAAGAAAAGGGCCTGGGGAGACTAATACCAAACACTATCAGATTGTGTGGTGACTTTTGACTGCTTTTGTACTGGATATGAAAATCATCTAAGGCCTGGAAAAGCCAAAAGAGGAATCTTTATTTTAAACTTGATGTTGAGTGGGCAACTACTTTTGGGTAAAAATGTCAGTTTGTGCTCAGATGAGGTCTTGGTGGAGTTCCTACATGAAATTCTGCCTCTCTAGTAATTCTTTCTCCAACATAACTGGCTGCCAGTCCAAGGCAAAGCCTTCGTGGCACTTGCTCCTCTCCAGAATGCTTTGGAAACTGTAATATCAGTTTCACAGTAATTCCAATATATTCAAGTATATAAATTTCTAAAACAGAGTACAACACCAAGCAACATTTTGTCATTCTGTCCCTTAAATCTGGTGGAAGAAGGAGTGCACAGAAATATTTATATAAATAAATACTTTATCTTTTCCTGTTCATGACCATCTCTGGGTTTAGTACGTAAATATCCCTGTATGTTGCTGCAATGGAAGTGTTCTGATGAGCTGATCACTTTCTACCTGTATTCATCAGAACTAAAGGATATAATTCTGGAAAACTAAACCTGTCCCATCTCAATCCTGTAGGGGTTTTTTTCCTACTAGTATCAGTGTTGAAACTCCCAATGACTTCAGTGGAAGCAGCACTGAGACCTAAATTCCCTAAAATGTTAAATTTAAATGAAACTCCATAAACAATGTTTCACCTCCTCCTGTTCCCAGAATGGAATAATACATTGATTTCGAAGCCGTAGTCTGGAGAATAAATCACAGATTAAGTGTGAGGGATTTTGGAGAAAAGAATTAGAAGTGTATCGGTGGGAAAACAGTTTAGACAAATTGTTTATGTTGTCTGCCAACAAATGTTTGGTTTTTGTAATTCAGCCTTACTGATGTTGCTAACTTAGACAGTGTAAAATGACATTACATCTGTTCTGTGGCGGGAGAGGAATGCTGATGTGAGAGCACGTCTTAATGAGGCGCAGTTGATATATATGTGGGCAGTTTTATAGTTTTGTCAAACAACATAAAAGTGTTATTCTGGATTTATTAGCAGGAAATAAAATCCAAATTGAAATTAGATTCTTAAATGGCACAAAATTCCAATGTTTTTTTTGTCACCACTAAAAAATCCCCAGATCCTGTTAAATAGGAAGCCTGAAAGTGCAGTAGTATATTGAAGGCAAAATCAGGGATGATATTTACTCAAGCAAAACTTTTTTCTGTGTTACTGCCATTGGAAAATGATTAAGTATTATCCTCTATATTGACTTTGTTATAAGTTGGTTGCAGTTATTGATATAAACACTGACTTCATCATATCCTATTAAACATTACTGTGAGGGGTTCAATTCTGACACCTTTTCTTGCCATACTTCCATCTTGAAATCTCAGTGAGGTTTTATCTCTGTAACAATTCACTTGCAATTTGAGGCAGTTTCAGGACATTTATATCAAATCTTAGAAGCATAATCCTGAACTTTCTTGTAGGTCAAATTATGGTTATTGACTTTTGAAATAGAGGTAATAGGTGTTGTTGCCTTTCTTCTGTTTTGAAATTGAATATTTATGACCTAACTCAACTTCTTATTTGATCCATATCATCAACTTCAATGGGAAGCAACAGAAAGGGTTTGACCAGTGGCCACGTAATGTTGAAAAGTGGACAATTTCACCTTTATCATAGTTCACACTTTTGCTTGCATGTCTGCTGGGCAGTCAGATTTTTGCAGTCAACTTTCATGTTTCACCATTGCTTGTAGCTTCATATAGTCCATTTTTTGTTTCTTGAAAGATAAATTTATCTCTCAGGGCTTACTCTTTATCTCTCACACTTGCTCTTGCTTTCACTAATTATATGACAAAGGAAGGTGATGCAGCCAGTAACCTTTTTAGAAGCAGGTTCGTTTGTTTGTTATGTTGCTTGTTTCTCTGTGGAAAAGTAAATCTACTTCAAAGGAAGAAAAATATCTCTTTTCCTCTTCCTCATTATTATAGAAGAGAACCTCTTAGGAGAGTGCGAGGTGCTTGGGACAAGATAAATTATGTTTTTATTAAAATTACCCAAGCAAACAATTTTCTGCAGGTTGGGTTGCATTAAAATATATTTTTCTTCCTAAAATGCAAGTGCAGTGGCTCCCTAACCTAGAATTAAAATAATTTTAGATATTGCTGGCATATTATCAACAGACATAGAAGAGAGCTTGTTTGCCAGCTTGTTTGCCAGCTTCTTCTTCAGAAAAGAATCTGAAAGTGAAGAAGTGGGACCTGGTTTATTTGCTGACAAGCAGGAGGTCACTGACTTTAGCATGTAAATCCCAAACGCTTCTGAGGATCACCTCTTGTCTGGGAAGAAGGGCTCAGAATGACTGCAAGATTGAGTTACAGTGCAGTATTTAGAATAATCTATCTAAATCACATTATAGGTATTCTTCTCCCATTGTGCAGAAAAATGTATTTAGGGAGAATGAAAGAGAAGCTGCATTTAACCTAACACTGCCCTGCTGTGATATCCCACGTTCTGGGACCAAAGGCAAGCCTGTATCCTGCTCTCCTTTCTGTCCCTTTGTCCAAAAAGGAACGAAATTAACAATTCCCTGGTGTTTCCCTCTGTTGTAGGAGAAGGAAGTAATCTCAGCCCACGGAAGAAGGGTAGAACTGAATTTGAAGCAAATTTGTTGGCTAAGAGAGCATGGCATGATATGATTTGAGGAGAGAAAAAGCAAGAGTTTACACTCCAGAGCATTGAGTGATCTGCTGTAAGTATTGGTAACCAAAAAGGTATTTGTAACTGAAATAGAGCAAAATTTTGTGATCTCAAAAAAAACCAAGGTCAGTCAGGCAGGAAAATCTGATCAGAACAATTTCCTTATATATCAGACAGTCGTCTGAGTCCAGGCATGATTTCTGATAGCCATGGCCAGGTTAGCCTGTTGTCTTGCTCCAGCCTCAGGTTGCTAGAGAAGGGAAGTGCTGAAGAAAAAGCACAGCCAAACAACAAATAGCTGGGAGATCTGGGGAACTGCACTATTTTCTCTTCCAAACGTTGCACTCCCAGACAGTGTGCCACCACATTATTTCATACGGTCATTTCTTGCTGTGCAGCAAGACTGGATTGAATTGTGCTAGAAACTGCAAAGAACCAGCTCAGGAGGCAGGAAGTAAGATTGCTCCCACTCAGATTCTTTACTTCATATGTTCCTCTGATTTATGGATGGAGTGAGGGGATTGACCTTATCATGTTTGAAAACATGAAATCCCATGAGAAATGTCAGAATACTGAGTTGTAAACAGGCCAGGACGAGGTAGGATTTTAGATTTCTGTATGCATGCAGGTAGGATCTGTCCTGAAAAGAGATTAGCTCCTAAAGTTGTGCTGGATAAAGGAACCAAACTAATCTATGTACTAAGGCATTTAACTTGCACAGATCAGAATTTTATCACTTTGATAATGGAATTTTGAATACAGAAATATTTCAACAGTCACAATATGGTGTCCTAGTTGAAATACGAAAGTAAAATAGCTAGAAATAGTGCACATTAACCATGCATACATTTTCATATGCTAGCGTTTCAGGTCTGATAAACTGATTGTGTATGATCTGAATGAACCCGTTGTTTTAGGGTAATCAAGCCTGATTATAATTTTCCCTTTTTAGTCTCCTTACAAACAATTCTAAATCCAAACAAAAATAACAATTTTTTTTTGTCTTCTGGGGCAACATGCAAATGAACTGCTGACTCATAAGTCCTTGTGTTAGGCACAGATTTCCAGCTTGAGAAGAAATTATGAGATAATGTAGAATTTTGTAGTTTTTGAATTTTATGGATGCCGGTTGCTAATACGTACACAGGGTTGATGTTAGTGGAAAAGTCGGTATTTTATCCTCTAGGCCTTCCATTTAAAAAATTAGCTTGTGATTAATTGCTGTGTGCTTCCATTACTGCAACGTAGATGGATTTTAAAAGCCATTTGACAAAAAAAATGCACCTGGGAGTATTTTAAGTGCAGCAGCTGTAGAGCACTCTGTAATTTTATTTTGTGTTTTTTATATTCATAGTGACTGGAAAAAAAAACTTGACTTAGGATCACAGTATAATAACATCAATTCTGTTCTTCTCCAAAGTTTGATATTCTGTTTGTGTTTAAGAAGCTGACAACCATATCTGAAGCTCATTGATTATCTGCTTATAATAGCTCATCATCTCGATGAAATAGATCAACAAACCTTTTCCACTTTGTCAAATATATGCCAAATAACAACAAAATGGGGGCAAAGGCATTTGAAACTGTATTAGAATAATGCCAATCTGGTTTATTTTTTCTGAAAAAAATTATTTAAAGAATAATTTGTGTTCAATTTAAATGGATCCTAATTTCAGATTAAGTGAGTTGTTCTCTTCATTTTTCTAAAGAGTATTTTTATCTCTCCTATATTTATGTAGAATATAGGATATAGTATATTTATTTATTCTATCACTGACTCATAATGTCATTTTTTTACAACTGAAGAACATCTTAAAGCAGTGCATTCAATTAACATTAATTATTCTATTGATTCTAAGGTTTTCTGTCCTAGGTTTTAAAAAAATCTTGAAAAATCCATTGTCCAACACACCAATCATTCATGATCATCTGCATAACTCGATATTTGCTGCTTCTACATTATCTCACCAGATTAACATTGTTATTCAAGTGTGTGGAGTTGCATGGTTGGATGGCTCTCTTTTTCTTTTTTTTTTCTTTGTATTTAAAGTCCAGATAATCTGCTGGATATTCTTGTTCCAGTTCCTTGCCCTATTCAAACATACCAGAAAACAGAAATGTATCCCTTCTATGATGAAACCAAGGCAACCCAAAGAATATCTTTGCTGAAGTTCACAATTGACTGTCACAAATGAAAACAAACTGATAAATTACAGTTTGCAAATGACTACAATAGGAAATTAATTAAGTAGTTTGTAATAAAAGCAAATTTCAGCTCTTTTAGACAATTGCTTACAACCATCTGCAAAAAAAAAAAATCTGTTTCTTTTTCATTGAATATACAGAGATTTTATATTAATAGAATTGAGTTTTTTCAAGAATCATCACTTGATCACAGGAGAATGAAATGATACTTCACAATGGATCTGATAAATGAGACCTTTATATATGAACAGGCACGTTGATTGACCTCTGATTTTTTAAGGACTTTCAAAAACCAAACCTGAAAGAAGTTTAATTCTTTGCTATTTATTTTGGGAAGCAAGTGTTTGAGCCATGTGCTGTGATGACTCAAATCTGGATATTTGAATTTCTTATCAATATTTTGACAGAATGATTGTAATGCACAGCCTTAAAAGAAAGTCGTGTATCATCCTAAAATACTGCCATTTGATTTTGATACTTCACTGCAGGAAAAATAAACCAAAACAGTGAAATCTGGACCTCCAATGTTAGCAATATGTAAAAACCTAATGATATTTTGATATCAGTACTTCTTCCCTGCATTAGTTCATAGAAACATTTAGAATAGGAAACTGTTGCTGAAATTAAGCCAGGTGACATTGTTACTTTGATCCCAATGGTGATATGTGTTATGGCTGTCCTGTTCTGCACCCTTCTTGCTGTGGCTGAGCAACTTAGCTACCCTTAGCTACCTGTGAGTTTGTGTGACAGGGAAAAGGAACCAACCAGAGCTCTGCTGTGATGGGGCAGCATTGCAGCGTCATGTTCTGATCTGTTTGCTACCAACAAAATGCATGCGAGCTCATCTTTCACTTTTAAACGAGTCAGGTTTCCCTTGGAGCCTTTCAGTTAGAAGAAAGAAATAAACACTTAGCAAAGGTTACTGACAAAATCTACACTTTTACTACTTTTTTTTTATTATTATTATTTTTAATAGGAAAATGCACAAGCTCCCTTCTAGCAAAAAGATGTAAATTGTGGATTTTAAGAAACAAATCCTGCTGCACAGCAGGTTTAGACAGGCTGCTACTGTCAGGGCCTTAAGGCATTCTGTGGCTTCCCTGTGGTAAGCCATGGTTCTCATTTGTAAAGCCAAGAGAATTCCCACTGTTGCTGTAATCATATGTATGATCCTTCTTCCATCTCAGTGCTTCGAGCATCAGTTAAAAAAGGAAAAATAGGGCAAATGGTGGTTGTCATGTAGTCAGCTGTCCAAGAGCTTAGAAATTTCATTTATTTTGTGGGATTTAATTTTGTCCTCAGGAAAAGAATTAAGCTTTTTAGTGGAAATCTTATAAAAAAATACTACTAAAAGAAAGGAAAGAGAAAAAAAAAGCCAAAAACAAACAAACAAACAAAAAAAAAACCACAGAGAAAAAAACAAGCAACAAAAACAATAGCACCAAAACGTGTCCTGATTCAGACATGGCAGTGAAGACATCAGAATTAATTTTTTTTAATGTAAAATGAGAATAATTTTTCCAATTTACTTCTGTTTTCCAAATATGTAAAATCCTTTCAGAAAAGGCCTGATTTCATCCCATGAGCCTTGTCGTATAATCTCTGTGTTTGGTCACTTCTGCACTTGGTGACATCCTGTCCAGTGTTTGATTCTGCAGCTTTCCTATTAACAGCCCTTGATGGACTAGTTTTAGCATGTCTTTTTGATTCCCTTTATTCTTTTGATACTCAAAAAATATAAATCAGTGTGTTTCACAGGTCAGTTATGTTTTGTGGGTAAAAGTACTTTGGTGTCTTTCAAGCCTTCCCTTTGAAAATTTCATTTTATATCCCCTCCTTCCTGTACTGTGAAAAGGCTGAGTTTCTGTTCCCTACTTATCTTCTCTGGGTCTTTCATGATCCTGTAAACCTCAGTCTCCCCTCTTTCTGTCTTCTGTCTTTTCATTGTTAAAAAGTGCTGGTCTGCTACTTCTTGCCTGCTGTGGAAGCTGCTTCAGAAATTTCATTGCGCTTGCTGCCCTCCCATCTAGCAGCAGGGAAAATTCTAGATTGGAAGGAGCCTCTGGAGGTCATCTAAGCCCACCTATAGCTGACAGCAGGGGTTTGGATGAAGTTATCCACTGGTCCAACAAGACAAGTCTTGAATTACTTCCACTTAGGAAGGTTCCACAACTTCTCTAGACAACCTGTTCCAATGTATGGTTGTTCTCACAGCAAAGAACTTTTTCCTGTAGTCTGATGAAACTGCCTTTTGAAGCAAGTGATGTTCATTGCTTCTTTTCCTCTTGCTGTGTCCTTGTGAAAAGAGTATCTCTATTTTCTCCATAGCTATCTCCCTCTCTAAATATTATAATCACATATTGAAAGTATGTGATTAGACTCTCCCCTCCCTTCCAGTTAATTAAACTGAATTCCATTTACCTTTCAACGGGCATCAGCTGAGGGGCCCTTCACTGAACCATCTCCAGTTCTTCAATGTCTGTTTTGAGGTGGGAGTCCAGAACTGGACACAATATTCCAAGAGTGACCTAACAAATACCAAACAAAGCAGTGACAAACTTTCATCTGCTGGGTTTACTTTGGCTGCTGCAGTCAAGGCCCCAGGTTGGTTTCATTGCTGCAAGGATGCACAGCTCAGTCCTTGGACTGCCACTCAGGATTATTCCATCACAGATGCAGGATCCAATAAATATCTTTGTTAAGTATGATTCAATTCCTGTTGGCCCAGTCTTACAACTTGTTGAGATCCCTGTTTGCTGTAGTGTATAATATATACCTTGCTGTGTCTTACTCTGTTTTTTCTCACAGAATGCAAAGCAGAACTCTCTGAATCAGTGAAAGCATGGA